AATCCCCAGTACCAAAAAAATGTGCTAAAAGATCACTTCATATAGTGTATTTTTCTATACTACTACCTAGCTTCTGGACAGACTTAAGTACTATGATTTATTCAACTAGCTTCTTCTGGGAAGACATTTATTTTCAGGCTTTTGTTATTGCAAATCAAAGTGGGATTGGACTTTTAAAAGAGTAAATGTATATAAAATTTTGCCAGCTGTTGCCAAATTTCCCTCTGGTGAGAGCTATGCAGTTTTGAATTCCCTCAGTAATGCCTGTTTTCTCAAGTCTACAATAGAGTATTTGACAGACTTGGATTTTTTCACAGTTGAGAAATTGTAATCTCAGTATAGCTGTATTTTTCTCATTGTGAGTGAGACTTTTCTATGTTTTTGTTTTATTTTATGATAGTTACTAGCTTTTGATGGAATAAGTGTCTGTTCATGAATTCAGTAAGAGTAGGTTAAAAACTAATAAGAGGCAACTGATAAGCAGTTGAAAGAGATCTGTTATGTAGAATTGTTATGTGTAATGCTAATAATTATGTGTCCTGGTAGACATAAAGGCAAGTCTGTTACTGAGTTATAGATATTTCAGTCTACAGCCCTTATTCTTTCATTTAAAATAATCTTGTATTATTTGGTCTCTACACTAGTAAGTATATACAATGAAAAAGTTGGGGAAAAAATACTAATTCCCATGGATGATATAGGTCAAGGACAGAAGCTGTTTAAAGTTTATGACATGTTTTGTAAAATGTTTAGTGTTTGTTATTTCAAGAGTGCAGATAATTTAAGGCATATGCTAATATGCAGTAGATACTAATTCAGTATCATAAACTTAAGAAGTTTAATTTGTGATTTTAATTACATTGTTAACATTATGGGTGTTTTTTCAGTTTTTTTTATTGCACTGAATATTGAATTTGAAATAAATTGTGCTCCTTTCCTAGGTAAAATAGTATTTTCTAAATAGAATGAAATGGTCAGTTAATTGGCCTCTACTGCTTTAATATTAGATCATATCTAAACTGAAAGGCAAGAGAAGTTGCATGTATTTTGTATTGTTGATCTTTTACTAAAAACATTTAAAAAATTCTGCTTCATATGTAGGTTTATGAAAATCTGATCAATAATTATGTTAAAATTTTAATGTAGGAATTTGGATAAAGAGAGGGCGGTGCTACTACAACGCCGGAAAAGGGAAAATATGTCAGGTGCGTAAAAAATTTAAGTTTAGTGTGATAGAGAAAATAAATGACTTGTATGGTTTTAGTTAGAAATAAATACCCTATTGATGAATTTTTGTTGTATATATTATTTACAACCTCAGGTATAGATTTTAAATATTCTTTTTATGGCTCATAGATTTTGTATATTGATTTAAGGAAACATATTTGTTCTTCAGAGAGATGGC